AATAGAAATTGACTTCGAAGTGGTTGACGATACTAGAGAGTCAGTCATACTAAAGTTTGTTGGTAGGTAGGGTCAAGTTGTTGATGTCTCTCAAGCCTTTATAGTAAAGAAAGCATAGAAAAAGTGTGATTTATGGCTAGCTTCAATTGAAAAGGTTGAGGAGAAGAGCTAGTTCCATGGTTCACTACGTTAGCCTTGGGCTAGTGCTTGATTGAAACTAGCCCTTTCTTGCTACCCGACTCGTTACTTATACTTCACTCGCTTCTTCTTTATTTTTAGTATCTTTCGGTATCCTTAGGTTAAGAATAAGAATCTCATTTCCTTGAAAGAACTCTACCTATTTTGAGTAAGGAATTTGATTTCTAGTAATTAGTGATCCTGAATCGAGCCTAAGAAACTGCCCAGATACGATTCCTGCTAAGGACTTTCCACTCAGCTCTCCTTGACTTCTCTTAGAAGTACCTTCAAGATCATTCATCTAGGTTTCTTTCAAAATTTTATTAGTTACTCAATCAAATAAATATTTTTATTGAAAAGTACCTTTGTGAATCTTTTATTATGATTCTTTGCCAAGGCAAAGAAATGAATTCCTAAGAATAGCCAAGACAGGTAAAATCCTGGGTACAATTCAACCTACTGCCAAGGCAGGGAGGACAAAAATCCTGATAGAGGTAGGCACTTAACTCACTTGCACACCCGATCAAACTTAGGCCCAAGCCTAGGTATAATATTGTAAGTCAAACAGGCCAAAGTATTGAGACAGATTAGATCAGCGGGTTGGTGTGAAGATTGCAGTGTAAAAATTGAGAAACGAGACTCTACCCCTTTATTAAGGCCGAGCTCTATAATAGAGGAAGCAGCTATAAAATTTTTTAAGTATGAAAGACCCTAACCCTTCATTGTGGTCGAGCCCCTCTAATAGTGGAAAGGGGCATAAATATTTCTAAGTATGAAGGGCCCAAACCCTTTATTAAGGCTGAGCCTTTTTGATTGGAGAAGGGAGGCATAATTTTAGGCAAATATAAAAGCCAACCAAGGATCACAAAAAAGATTCGTTATATTGATCAAAAGATTCAAGAGTACATGTTTGTACAAAATAAAAAGAAAAACTAATTGAAACTATAGTTCTTAGGGAATAACAGGATCTGGAACAACAGAACTCGAAGCACCAACAGTATGACAAGAAAAGAGCGCAAAAGATAACAGAATGTCATCGGCACGCAATGCCTCATCCCAACCATTCTTGAAGTTGACTTTCTTAATCTATTCCGCTTGATTGGCTAGCTCTTTCTCGACATTCTCCATCCTATCCTCATAGTCTTCATCCTCTTTAGCCTTGGAATTGGCTTTAAAGCTTTCAAATTCTTCAAGGAGGGCAGTGTGTTCTTCTTGGGTCTTGGAGAGCTCTCGAGAAGCCTCTACCTCTAAAGACTTCAACTCATCATTTGATGACTTCAGACGATCTCTCTCTTCCTTTAGCTCAATCATCTAAGCCTGGTGGACTATCACTTCCTCAAAAATCTTGGAAACCTCAACATATAGCTTCTCATTCTTATCCAAGGCCACTATGCAGTCATAGATAACATTCTTCATGGCCTTGTCCTTTTGAGCAATTCTAGCACAGATCTCGTGAACTCTTTGATGACCCTGTAAAAAAAACATTTAGTTAATTTTTTAGAACATCAAATTGCAAAAAGGAAAAGGAAAGTTGCAAGTACCATCTATTTAAGGGGACTTTGGGAGATCTAGTAATCGCTCATCCTTTTGTTATAGCTAAATTCGGAGTAAGGATCACATCTGTGACCATAGAATCTTTCACAGTGATCTATCTTCCTTTGGCCTTTAGGAGGGTGGAAAGGGGAGACCATCTCCTCAGCTTGATCAGATTCACTAATCTCCATGACTTTCCTCTTTTTAGCAATATGTTTTCGTTGCCTAGTTGACACAGGAGAAGATTCACTTGCTTGATAGGCCTTGATATAAGTGATGGTAAGTGTGAAGGGAATATATGTAGGGACACCATTGCCTAGGGTCTCGACCCCTTTGGACTGGTCGGCGTTGGGAGCATTAATCGGCTCATCATCTAGTATTGAGATCTGCTCGGCCTCAGCCTTACTTTTTGAGTAGAATCATGGGGGGTGAAATTATGAGAAGTAGGGGAATTTTGAGAATCAGGAATAGATGGGATAACACTTGGGGACGCATCTGAAGAGTTAAAGATAAGGCCAATGAAGTTTTTCATTGGCGTAGCTCGCACAGAGATTGCGGATTTATGACAAGACCATGGATTATAAGCTCTGAAGGACTTGAGTCTTCTCGGTTCTCTGCCAGGTGAGCATTAAGCCTATTTGGAACAACTATGCAAGAGTGGTATATGGGGTTATAACCAAGTAGTTAGTGTGCAGCTTGGCAGAAGAGAGCCTCTTGAAAGCCCACACCTTCTTACTATTCTCCATGTTGATAGACCTTTTTGAAATCCTCCCCTTCACATTTTCCCCTATTTATATAAAAAATAAAAAATAAAAAAGGAAGGGAGAGGAAAAATTAGACATTTTTTATCACACCCCTAATAAAAAATGATAGAGTTCAAACGTTTAGAGGAAATACCTAGAGCACCACTCTCATAAGGGCATCGATAGTTAGGCTCTTCCCCAACCTTGTGCTCCCAATTCCCAGAAACAAACATGATGTCCTTCTTCTGGTTCTTATTTGAATCAGGGAGATGAGTGATGAGGTAGCGAGTCTTATTCCAGACTTTAAGGTAGCAGTTGTCATTGCCAGTAGGCTTCATGATGTAGCAACACTAGATCTCCCAAAGACCTAGGGTGGTGCTAAGGAGGTTATTCAATGCTACAACCCACATTACTATCCAAAAAAAAGTTAGCACAACATTGGAGGGGACAAAGTTTGAGTGTCGAAAGGACTTTGAGAAGAAGAGGATAGGGGGAAATGAACTCCACGTTCGGTGATGGAGATCCTGTTCATAGGGATAGAATCCCTGGAACAAATGAGGGCTTCATTGGCCTAGGGCCTCCTGACATCAACATCGACTGGGAAAACATAGGAAGCCTTGAAGGTGAGAATGTCCTATTTTACAAGGTGGGCCATTGAAAGTACAACAGTTGAAAAGTTGCAAAGAAAGTTGTAAAGGAAAAACTTTGGGAAGCTTCAATGGAGGAAGTGGGCAAAAAGGAAACGACCTCTTTAAAAAGTGAGGAAAAGCTCCAAGGGAAACTGTGCCTGCAGGTGAATGGACATTTGCATTAAATGAAGAAAGATGTTCTACATAAAGAAAAGATGTGCACAATGTATTTTTGTGAGAGACCAAGCGACACATTATATGCAGACATGATGAAAAGTTAGAGAATGTTAGCTGGCGTATGCCACAAAATAGACATCCATAGAGAATAGGATAGCTAGGCTATCCCAAGAAATCAAAGGTGGTGATAAACTAATAAGAAATTTAACTAAATTATAGGTGAACATTATCAACGTGCCCTAAGAAATAGATGAGGAAGTTGGGAGAGATTCCAACAACAATCAAGAATAGTCAGCCTAAAGATTAGGAGTGCTACCTAGTATAGTCTATGACAAAACCCCTAGTAGAAAGGATGTCATGTAACACTATAAATACTGAGTAATGGTTGAGTCAAAGGTATGCACTTCTTTCCCTGCAATTCGTTTACTTACTTTTAGAGCCTTTACTGATTTAAACATCAGAGTGCCTTTAGCTAACCCCCAGTCTCTGATAGTTCGTTTGCTTTGCAGAAAGAATAGTGCAATCTTCGTTTATTTTTTTTCAGTCAAATCCTAATCTTCAACAGAAGGTAAGAGATTTCTTTCTTCTCTTACAAGTCTAATTATGTCTAAAATTTTTATATACCCTCTATTTTTAACCAATAATTATGTCACACATATAATCTTTATCACTTTATTATTTTGACAATCAAATGCTTTAAATGAATCAATGGAAGATCTATCATCACAAATCTTTTTTCAATATAATACTAAAAAAACATTTCAATGTGATATTTTTATCAAAATATTTAAGAGGAATGTAAGTTGCAATTAATTTGTTGATCTAGTTAATTGTTGCTCATTGATGATGCACAAAGTAGGCTTATGCATAATCAACAGTCGAGTGTATGATTCAGAATAATTAATTAAGCAATCAATAAAGCAATTAATGAATGAGACAAGTATTGGATCAACACAAGCAACACACAAATGTATAGTGGTTCGGTCAGGGTGACCTACTCCACTTTGAAGATGACAATGGTAGTCGGTGGTCTTTATTGATGAAGTAGTAGGTGTGAGAGAGAGAGAGAGCAAATGTATGATCTTGATAGTTATGAGGGAAATAACTGTGTAAGGTGTGTAGAGAGATGCCTCTCTCATATGGAGAGGGTTTACAATTTATAGGCACATAGTCTTGGTTGAGGTGGTGACGTGAAAGGATATGTGACTAGTCCTTCGGAGTAGATAGCTACAGCTGATGATTGGTACAATCAGAGATAGTCTTGATGTTGGAGAGTGGCTATCCCGGTAATTACTGCTCACGTGTGCTAATCTTCCTGGACTCCTTGAACTTTGGATTAGGCCAGATCCATGAACTGGGCTTAACCTGCCTTGTAACTAATTTGAGCTCCCTTAATTAATTGGCCTGACCTAGTTAGATCTGGGCTCATCATTTTCCCCCAATGCCCTAAGCCTTGACTGTAACAAAAAAGGGCGTTGAGGCATTAGATAGCCTCTGGATAGATAAGGGTTCCTTGTTTCCCATGGTAGTCTTTAGCTTTCCATTTATGCCTACAAAAATTCTTTCCTCATTAAATATAACCATTGTAGGGTACCCATTGCATTGAGGATCGTCCTCTATGTTGGACCTCTGTTGAATTTGAAACCCCATTTTTTTAATTCTTGTCACTACTTTTAGGGCTTTACAAGACTCTTTCTTTTTTCACCACACAAACCATCAAGGGATATTGAGAAAAAGAGAGATGGAGACGAGAGGGAAAAGGTCGAAGAGACCATCCATCCTGGGTGGATCCATGAGAGATTCCATGGATAACCGTATGAGCTTCTCAAAGGCGAGGCATGGAGGCACCAGTGCCCATGGCGACACCATTGTGGTGAGCGAGACTGGAACAACTTTGGAAAGGGATGACCTAACAGCGGTGGGTGACACCAGAGAAGCTCAGCAAGCTAGTTGACGTCGTTGGAGTGGAGGGCGACGCTAGAGTGCCCTTGGTAGTAGGCGACATGTCGACCCAGGTGCTGGGCAATGCAAACGTGACTCTAGGTAGCACCAGCGCCCTGGGCGACGCTTTTGGCAGCCATAGGAGTGCTATAGTGGCAGCATGTGACATCCTCATGAGGAACCAGCTGTTGGGCAATGCCAGCATGCTGGGCAATGTTGGTCTTTGGTCGTGCAATGCTAGAGGGAGGCTAGGTGATCTAGGTGATGACGGGAAGTGATTGGTTAGCGATGCCAGATGTGTGGAAGATGACGAGATAGAGCTAGATGGCGATGCTAAACAAGTAACAGGAGACGCCTTGGGCGTCTGTGGGGTAAGAGAGTAGTCGAAGGGCATCTAGGCGACTCCCTAGCCTGGGCAATGAAAGCGGCTAAGCCAATATGGCCTGGGCGATGCCTTGCAGGTGCAGGTGCTAGGCTGGGCGACTGATTAGCACAAAATATTGCATATTGTATGTTGTTATACCCTTTTATACTTGCTTTTGTTGTGAATTTGGGGAGAAATGCATTTAATCTACCTTGTAATGAAGTTTTGTGTGAATGTAGGTAAAGAGTTGTAAATAGATTGGATTAAGGCCCCATCATAGTGCTTAAAGACAATGGAGATAAGGGGGTGGCTTAAAGGGTGGTTTGGAAGGTGAAGAAACCAAGAAAATACAATTCTGCTGAAAACCTTCCAAAATGTTTGCACTTTGAACTGCCTCAGCCCCTGCCAAAACCTTTCGGAAGCTTTGCCTTACTAGAATAAACCTTTTGGAAGGTTTGCATCAGCCTTCCAAAAGGTTAGGCTCACTAGAAAACTTTTTCCACTTGCCCTGCCAAAACCTTACGGAAGGTTTGCATCAACATTTTAGAAGGTTTTGCCCAGAAATGTTAGACAACCTGCAACTCAAGCTTTGCCACTTGGGGTCCCACCTATAATTCTCCCACTTATCCCCTAATATCTCTTACACATATACATGCCTCCCTACACTTCAAGTTGGACTTTGGAGGCCAATGCATTAATGAGAAAGAGAGAGAAGGTGTAAGCCTGGGAGTTATAGGCTAGGCTTGTCCTACCCTGTCCAATGCATCAACTCTACCCCCCATTGATGGAAAGCCACACACACATGCTAGAAGACCTCCATGGACGAAAATAAAGAGAAAACTTGACATTTTTATAGGATTGTTCAGCATTATAGAGAGAGAAACTCAAAGAGGAAGACATAGTTTTAGAGAGAGAAGTTAGATTTTTGCATTTCCTTTATCCATTGCACTTGTAATCTGCTTTAAGACTCTTGTAAGCTTCATTTATTGCACTTAATGTCATTTATTTCAAGTGTATTGCAAGTTTAGTTAAGTATCTTGGAATCTACCATTGTTATATTCAAGTTTTCACTTCAAGCTTTTAAGTTGGGTATTAAATGCACTCATTTTTGTAGTTTCACTTTTCTTTACAATAACACAAGTTTTAATCTCCATTTCAATACCATGTCTCCTTACACATTGTATGTCTTTGCATTTAACATTAGTAGCTAAGCTTTTTGTTGCCTAATCCAAGGGAGAATTCCTATTGGGTATGCCAAATCAACTCTTTTTCATTCTTCCTCGTAGTGTAAGGTGATTTGGTTTGACTAGGTTGAGTGTGGACATGGTTGTGAGCTTTTGATACACCATAGACTTGTTGCGGGTTATACTTGAGGCTTCATCTCCATTTTAGTCCCTCGCTTTTTACGAATCAATCAAACACATTTGCACCATTGGAAAAATGTCTTGAGTTGATTTGATATTCCCATTGGAATGACCTCTTTGGATTAGCCAACCTTCTTTCCATTACATTTCTATATCCAATCTTCACTCACCAAAACTCAAACTCAAAAGATTTTCCACTTTTCATTTTTCAAAATCACTTTCAACATAATTCACCTTCCTTTCTTGAGCAGATGACCTTGGAATACTCAATTCCAAGTAAAAAATGACACTCGAAAGTCTATCTACGCTTGGGGAGCACTTTTGCACACGCACACACACATATTTCATTCACACATATGTCTTCCCATTTCTTGCATGATATCTGAGGGAGAGTGACATGCACCTAACTATATAAACCACATAGACATTACCGAAATCATGGTTAAAAATTAGGAACGACAGAATAAGTCAAGCAGCGATGCAAACAAGTGCTGGGTGTTGGCTGGGTGACGCCTTACAGGCGCTAGACGTTGACGTTGGGCATTGGAACTAGGCGTTGGCTCTAGGTGCTGGAACTGGGTGTTGGCTATAGGCGCTAGCTCTGGGCCCTGGGTGCTAGCATTGGTGCTGGCTGGGCACTACCTTAGAGTAGGAAACAACGCCTTGGAGGAGAAGGCAATGCTAGTTGACACAAAAGGCTGGTCTTGGCAACACCATGGAGGCTTAGGTGACGCCAGGGGATGCTATGTGGTCTGGGTGACCCCTGGGCAAAGCCAGGAGAATGGAATGCGAGCTAGGGCATCGGTAGAGTATCAGAAAACCATGTAAAAATGGTAAAACTTTGAATGACCATAATTTGAGCTCGATTGTCCGTTTGAAGCAAATGTTTTGTTGAATTTGGGTATTTTTTTGGGATCTACAACATACAATCGCCTTTGGCAGTTTGGGCACCAAATTTCTCCAAAAAATGCTTATTTCTCACAGAATTTGAGTTTTAAACACAAATTAGTGAAACTGACGACGGTAGGAAGTTGCGCTCTCACAGACAGCTGTTAGGCATTCATGGGCGGCGGGTTGGTGTTTTGGGTTTTGCTAGGGAGGGAGACTATGATGAATTTTGGCTAGGTATTCAATCCTGCTTTCTCCTTAACATTTTCTTGATGCTGGTTCTTTATATTTACTTTATCTCTAATTACAGACACCCTGTTGATAGAGGGATGCTAGAGGCTCTCTAAGCTTTAGGGTGACGTCTTTCCTCCTTCAAAGAGGGCAATGTTTGATACCCCCATTGCTTTTTAGCCGACGTCCGATGGCCAAGTTGCTTCCTTAGTGTGGATTCGGTGGTGCCACCACTCCTTCCCACATCGTGGCTCCCATGTGTACCAAAGCTAGCCCTTATACCACTGTAGGAGTTGGCGACTTGCGTGAGAGCGCGAATCTAGAGACATAGACTGCTTAGGAGTAGAGGTAGGATTAGGTCGAGTTTTTTGGTGACTCATGAGAGAGCTTTAAGCTAGAGACTGATAAGGAGACTGTTTGCGCAAAAGCAGATTCATAGCTACAAGTGTTCCATGAGAGGGTTGTAGTAGTTGAGACTGAACTACGTATAACTCGGGAGAGGGCTATCGTGGTAGAGGTTGACCTACGAGTAGCTCATGAGAAAGCTACTGGGGCGAAGGCTCATTGCATAGAGAAGGAGATGAGGAGTGAGGCTGTTGAGAGTGCCATTGCAAATGCCTTTATCGATGGTTATGAGGACCTTAACAGCTTTCCCTGGTATTGATTTCTCTAGCTTCGTCCCATATGAGGCATCAAGGGCAGATGGTGACAAATTTCATCTTTTTGTGTACCTTGTTGTTAGGTTATGTTCTGACTTTTGTAAGCTGTTTACAACCTTATAAAATGAAAGCAAGACAGTTCTGGAAATAATAATCTTGGCAATATTTTATTTCATAAAATAACAAATAAATCAATTGAAATAATAAAGGACAAATAAAATGAGAACCATCGGTTTGTACCCGCTATTGATAATAGCTCTTCAGGTGTTCGACGTCCCACAAGTGGGCCAAAGTTTTCCCATTTTCAGTGTGCTGTCATACCAAGCACTTCCACCTAGAGGGCCTCTTGAGGTTTCTTAATCCTCATAGAGGCCACATAGAATTCTCTACCAGAGATTTGGTCTCCTCTAACTTCTCCGATCCCATAATGGTTGGGAAACAAAGAACAAGGCGATAAGTGGACAACACTGCCCTTAAGGTATTGAGTGCAGGGCGTCCAAGTCTGATATTGTAGGCAGAGGGGTAGTCTAGCACTATAAAGTTTACCATGATGGTGGAGCTTCTTTGTGTTGTACCTACTGTGACTGGCAAGGTGATGGAACCCAAAGGATAAGCCCTCTCACCCAAAAATCTGATGAGGGGCATTTTAATGGGTTGCAGTCTTTCCCTGCCTAGATGAAGACTGTCATAGACTGGTGCGAACAGGATGTCGGCAGAGTTGTCACTGTCCACCAGAATTCTCTTAACTTGATAGTTGGCTACCATCATGTTTAAGATTAGAGGGTCATCATGAGGGAATTGGATCCGCTCAAGGTTCTTGTCTGAGAAGGTGATGACCACTTCTTCCCTGTGTCGGGGTGTCTTTGTTAATCGAGAGTCGTTCGACTCTACCTGTCTAGCTTTCTTGACATGGGTTTTCCTGGCAAAGTTGGAGTTGCCTCCTCCTCCTAGCCCTTTAAAGATCATCTGGATTTCTCTGAGGGTTTTTTGGCATTCTCTGTCATCCTGGTCACGGCTAGGTGGCTGGGCTTGTACTCTGCCAACAACGTACTACCTCAACTGGCCATGCTGTATGAGCTCCTGGATCTGCCTCTTGAGCTTATAGCAGTCATCAATGTCGTGACCATGGTCGTGGTGGAAGCGACAATATTGTTTTAGATTTCTTCTGTTCGGGGTAAACTTCATCTTTCCTAGCTACCGTAGAGTAGGTTCATCCTGTATTTTGGAACAGGATATGCTCAACTGAAGTATTGAGCAGCGTAAAGACTTGTCACTCTCTCAGAGGTGGGAGATTAAGGTGATCTTTGATTGAGATTCTCTCTATCCTATTACTATTGTTCTCTGCTTATCTCCTGTTTTGGCGGGTATCGTTTCTTTTCTCAACCCTACGGGAGGACTCACATCGTTGGGCTTTGGTGATGTCTTTGACATTCATATACTTCTATGCCCTTGATAACAGTTCGAGCATACTGGAGGGCAGCTTCTTTAGGACAGAGAACATGAAGCTCAAGGAGCGTAGTCCCACAATAAAGGTAGCCATGTCATCTAACTCCTCAATTTGGAGAACCTCCTCTTTAAAATTAGTGAGGTAGCTCCTAAGACTTTTATCCGAATATAGGAATGGATGGAAGAAGACTTGAGTTTTACAAACCATTGTCGTGCGGATCCTTTAAGGGTGGCAGGGAAGGCTCTACACATAATCTCATCAGGCGCATTGTGGAGTTGCATGAGAGATTTGTATGTGTCAAGAAGATCAAGGGGGTCCTTGGTTC